GGCAGTAGTCCGATCGTTGCAAGGGTGTATGATAACATTATTTCAAAAAGAACGATATTGGAGGATAATTTGGATTATTCTATACTAACTTTAATATATATATATTTTGAGTTGACCTATTCAACCAGTTGATATTTTTTTATTTTAAAATTTTATTTTAATTCTTGTTTTATTACATTAGATGAACAATGCTTTCATGATAATATTAATATTAATTAGATGTACACATATCAATTATTCAATGTTCATGATAATATTAAGATTATACACATATCAATTATTCAAGGAAATGAAATATGAATCAGAAACATAATTTCTAGAAAAATTATAAAATTAAAAATTCATGTCTTATTTTTTTCCAACATTTTAAATATTTCTTTATAATTAATATAATCTCATTCTATAATATAAGATTGTATATACAATATAAAAGAGAATTTATATCTAAAATAACAATAATCAATAACAAAAATTTGTAAGAAACGGAAAGAAAACGGGTGCGGTCTCACATAAATAGCGCACCAAGAGAGGGAAAGCTCAGATGAAGCCTAAGTGAAGTTCCATCCCAAAACCAATTGGTGGAAGGAGGAGCATTCAAAACCCAAGGCCATATACGGAGCTGGGTACCCAAGCCCTACTAGAAACAGACTCCCATAAACGGGTACGTGGGGGAAAACGGGTACGTCATCACACGGTCCCAATAGAACCGACTCTGATACCATATAAGAAACGGGGGAAAATGAGTGCGGTCTCACGCACGTGAAGCGCACCAAGACAGAAAAATCCTAGATGAAGCTCAAGTGAGCTTCCCTCTCAAAACCAATTGGTGGAAAGAAGAGTAGACCACTAGACTTATAAATTAATCATATATTTCCCACATAAAAGATGTGAGACAACTCACAGATAAATATTCTAATCCCTCCCTATATATTAATTAAAAACGTGTTGAGTCTAGGTGAAAGATTCTCACGCTACGGATGCTGACATGGCGAAAATCTATGCTTCGTGATGTTGTTTTTATATTATTTTTGCTCTGGAGTTAGATTTGGTATTAGACATAAATAACTTTACATATATATATTCATTAACTCAACACCCATGTTGTACATGAGTATTAATACTAGTAATATTTAATGTGAATAGTTAATTAAAAGTAAATGTAGGTAGACTCGTTTCTTAATATGATTTTTAGATGTACAAAACTAAATTATATTTTAAATAAAATGTTATATAACATGTACTCCACTTGCTTTCTTGTAATACAATACAAGTTAATAAGTTCACTAAACTAATAAATAGATTAACATAATATCCATAATAAAAAAAAATTATGAACTATCAAACATTGATTAATAAATGCATTTTATTATAGCCACCGCATTTTTTCCTCATACTTACGTTCATTTGGATAATGAACTTATCCAAACTCAAAAAGAGCTTTTATTAGTTAAAGTTAATGTTAATTAAAATTTAAAACCAATCCATCTCCTTTAATTACGATCATTACTACTTTCCCTATTGTAATTCTTTCGTGTTTTCAAAAAACTTTGACTTTCAACTTAAAAATTTGAATCAAACAATCTCAAAAAAAATAAGGCTAAATCATTATTCCAAAAGTTAATTAAGGATGATATATAAAAATCACTTTAATCATAAAAATATATATATATAAATTATTTCATATAAATTATATTACAATATTTATGTAAAAGATAATTAATATTTACATTGAGTCAAAGCATGTTGCACTAAAAATAATTGTCTAACACATAATAATATTATGATAATCAGAAAGTTAATTTTTTGGGCAATTTTTCAATTAGTTGACCTTGGAAAAGCCCTTTTTCCCCCTGAAACTCATTAGTAATTCCTTATTTTTTTTTTCAAATAAATAAAAAAGATAACTTTATAGTGGAAAAAAAAAAAAGAAAGTTAAGATTATGGAAGTGTGGGGAGGATTAATTAATTAATTT